TATTTTATATTTTTTTATATTATTATTCCAGAATTCAATCTTTGTAAAATTTTTCATTTCATCTAAAAGATTTCTGTATAAAGATAGCCATTAACAATTAAAATATAATACAACGACAATTGTCTTTCAATAATAAATAACAAGGCAAATAAATTTTATATCTTTTTATTAAGATCTTAGTAAAGAAGTTTTATAAAAAAATCAGTCTTTTTATTCTGTTTTTTTACTTATATAAAGCTTTCGTTTTTAATCGAATATATGAATTTCTTTCTCTGTAAAATCTGTATACGTTTAATATATTTTTGGCCGCGCAAGCGTTTTAACACATTTCGAAGGCGCATACGCGAATTATCGTACATGGTCGTCATGACGGCACCGCGACGCCGACAAACGCGGGAACGTCAGACGTCGCGATGCATCTGTGACGTGTAGTCGTCGTCGGTGCGTCACTTGATGATCGACCATCATGCCTTGATTTACACCCTCGCTGGGTTAATCACAAGATTAACGTAATTTTCGTTGTGAAACTTAATGTGTTAATGTAAAATGTTGAATTATAAACATTTACAAGAACCAGTAATCACTGTTTGGTCTTGCGTGATGAAGATCGATAGATTAGAAGCGTAGAGTGATCAAGAAACACGATAACAGGTGGGTATAATTTGTTAATCTTATATAATGGATAAAAATTAGTCCTGATATAAATTAAAAGTTTGAATTTAATAAGGAAGTAAACGATTGATTTTTAAAACATGATCGATATTTAAAATACGCTATATATTTTAAAATATTTCTCTTTAATGGTGCGGTATAGTTTACCTGATTATATATTTGTGTGTTTTGTGTGTGTAAAATTTTCTATTATTCTACACATAATTTTATCAAGTTGATCATATCTTTATTTTTATTCGCAAATTGCACATGCATAAAAGTGCATTGTGTGGAAAATAAGTAGAGTTCAGGTACCAGCGACTGAAGAATGCAGGAGAAATTCCTTATCTCATATCCATACAATTTTCTCCTTTGTTCCGACGACAAACACGGATCCCCTATATGCGAATAGAATCAAGCTTGAACAGGTCATTCCTGTACCTGCACCTCGATTTCCGTGAGGATCATGCTTTTTTCTTTCAGCGTGAACAGAAAAGCCAGCTGAACGATTCTTTCTCACGTGCAATGATTTGCATAGAGTGATAGGAGTATGTCTTATCTTGAAGATTGAAATAAGTTTCCAATTTCTTTATGTTGACAATTTCTTAAAAGGTTCACTAAAAATCTGTTAAATCTGTTTTCTTAGTTTTTCTAGTTACGTCATTGATATTAATGATTAATTAAGAACCTATAAACGTTATCTAACAACCTACATAGTCCAACTTCAGCGACTTAAAAATCAAAGGATATACTTTTGCTTATAGAAAATTAAAATATACATTAATTACATATATTATTTTAATTTTATATTTACATTATTTACATATTATTTTCCTATTAAAATAATTCCTTAAATTAACAACGTGTTTTTAGTTGACATATTTTCTAGCGCCCGTAATACCGTAACGTGTTCGTCAACAGTGTATCAATGTTTGTCTACTTTCCGGAGCTTTAGCTATAATGAAATTTTCTCACGAACGCGGTACATTTGAACAGAGTATATGTAGAAAAGTTCCTTAGTTAAAAGTCTTCGCATTCTGTAATTAAAAATCTTCACATTTCATGGGAGTCATCGATTGCGCAATTAATTAACATTTCTATGGATGCAAGAATATTTATCGTTTTATTTTATAAAGTTTTACCGCATCTTTCGTGTATCGTGTAATATTATGTAATATGATTATAATTTAAAATCATAAATCATAAATCACTGAGAGAAAGAAATGGTTAAAAAAGAAATGGTTAAAAAGAAAGGAATAATTTCCACAATTTATAGTCGTTTTTGGAACAATCGTAAATTTATAATTGTTTTGACCATATTAATTATAATAACCTGAACTAATTGTCTGATTATCTTACACATAAATCACATATTTGCATATAGTAAATTATATGTATACTATAATGTTGTAACTATATACAAGGTTACTATATATAACACACACACACACACACACACACACACACACACACACACACACACACACATATTATAGTAATAATAATTATAAAAATAATGCTTGTAACCATAATTATTTTACTATGCAATTATATAGTCACAAATACGATATACTTTTCTCTCAGTGTATGTGTAAATATATTCGTTATGTATGAGCGTGAATTCCGTTGTTAATTTGCAATGATAACGTTAATGCGAATAGACAAATCTCTTCATTGTTTCGTCAATACTAGCCGTGGTAACCACATCTAGGACATACAGATTGCACACGACATGTGAACGTTCAAAAATGCATCTTATGAGAGAAATTTTGAATGAAAAAAAACAATTCGATGCGCAATTCAGTTAATTAAGTTGCTTTTAACTCGTGTTTTTCATAAAATTCTGATGAATATTAATGACACAAATTATAAAACAGCTTGTTTATTTTATTCAAAACGGATAATAGTAACAGGGTTTTTGTAAATTCAACCCGTTTAAAAAATATATTAATTTAACTTTTTCATAAAACGCATATTACAAAGAAATTACACTTTTTTTTTAGTTTTATTAAAATTTCAACTTATTTTTCTATTTGAAAAAATGGCTTTTTCTAATTTCTCCTGTACTACACACACACACACACACACACACACACACACACACATACACACACACACACACACACACACACACACACACACACACACACACACACGTAATTACCGATCACATTCTATTGTCCAAAGATCGGTTGGATTTACTGCGAGCGAATGTTGCAAATATTAATTAATTGATGATGTTACACTATGCAAGCGGCATGCACGTGATTACAAAGCGGTGTATCGATCACGTATTGGTCCCTAAAGGCAGTTTAAACACAAGGGACTCTAAGCATTCACTGGGTGCATGCCTGCGGCGTACGAGAGATAGATGCACGCGGTGCATCGTATATACGCGGTTATCGATAATCGTGTCAATTTTCTGTGTCGCGTGGTCACGCCTTATACGTGCGTGCCATCCGAAATTGCATTTCTCTGTATTGGCTGTCATGGCGAGTGACACGCACCGGTGGCTATGATTCAATTTGTACCGGGATTAGTATCAAGATTCTAATCACGTTTGAGGTGGGTGTGCTTTCACCCTTTACACACCGCAGAACAGCCGATAAATTTGCTCGTTGCTGAAGTTACTTGTTTATCAAAGTGAAGTGAAGCTATTCTATGTTTTTTCGTAATTAAATTGATTTAATTAAAATCAGAGATAAATATTTTTCTTTATGGATGTATAGAGACTAAGAATATTTTTTTCTTTCTCCTCTTTTTCTGGAATAATTTTTATGTAAGCTCTTAAAAAATGAATTCCTTAAATTTGCAAATTAAAAAAGAAATTTAGATTATATAGATAATAAGAGCATAATGATAAGAGAATACAAATCGAGAACCACTGTTTTAGTGTCACGGTCGTATATGTGACAAGACTTGCTCTCGTTGTACAAGCACACGCGAGATCTTGAAACGCTTGGGCTCGGAGTTACTCTCAGATATTTATCACTATGTATTAAGAATTCCCTACAGACACTCTTGACATCCCATAGAGGAACGAAACGGCTCATGACATCATAGGCTGCAAATGCTGCACATTCGTGGCTTATCCCTGCCCAGTCGACCCCGACGCGAAATTTGTATGACCGCTTTTGGAGTACATGTCTACACAATCAGGACGTATGAAAACTTCGTACTTGAAAGCCTGTAGGTAATCCTTGGGAGAGAAGGCTCAGTGATGAACGCGAGCGTTTTGAATTGGTATAAAAAGGTCGCAAAACCTTTTTATTACCTTCCTTACGCTTGCAGCTCACCCTTGAAAGAAAGGTCAAATCACGTGAGTACTTATAAAATACATCGGCCAAAAAAAAAACCGATCTGAAGGATTTCGCGAGACAGATCATAATGCACCAGAACAGTACATCCATTGTGATATATATAGTATGATTACACGTGCGCGTGCATAAATAATGACGTATAGTTTCACGACCGATGACTTCATGATGCCTATATAACTCGCGTTATTATTTAATGATGCGGTCGTTTCGTTTAGTCATTACAAGCAGACATGAACTTTAACGTTTAAAGCCTGGGTCTTAATCACGAAAGAAACTACAGGTTCTAATAAACTATAAATACTATAAATCGCAAATAGAGTATCGTATTCGTATATAGTCCCGTAGTTTTGTATTAATTAAAGTTAATATTCTGAAAATTGTCGTACTTCCAGAATATAGTATGAATTATTATTAACACTTGGAATAAAGGATTTAAAGGTTATAATATAATAAATTCGACAGCACCCCTAATCACTAGAGAGGCTTCACTTTTCAAGACGCGCCGTCTAGTTCTCTCTGACGTCGACGTAACGACGCGTCAGCGAGGAGGTCAGGCTGCATCGCTTCGTCTTAGGAGCGCAATTACAAAAGTTTCCCTTTTAACGTTAATTAATGAGAGAGTCCGCCGTACCGTACTTCATTATGGCGCTATCCATTACGGAGGTGGCCTCTTCTCTCAAGTTGGGCATGCTTTCAATTCTCCCCCGAGAGAAAGACCGTGCCAAACTGATTTACGAAGAGCGATCGACTTTTTTTTTTTAACTTGCATAAAATTAGCCCCGTTAACCATAAATATCCGCCACGGTTCGTCTCGTTTTGCGAATTGCGCGATTTCGATACGCGGAGCACGCAACGCGAGCCGATGTTTCGCGAAATCAATCGCTGGTTAAGGTATTTCTGCCGCGAGCCATTATTTGGAATTCGATCGCGTCCTTCTCGATGGAAAAACGTAAATGGACTAATACGTGTTTTCAGGTTACAAAGAATGAATAATCACATGTATGCGTATGATTCCGAGCGGTCCCAGAAAGGTCAAGAATAATTTGCAAAGGATCAGAAATGGTTTTAAGGCATCTTGTGACTCTAAGCTGTAAGATGAAGCGCTATGGTTTAGATTTGCAATTTTGATTGCGTAAAAAATTTAAAATAATGTTAATCCAGCTTTAATCTTAGAAGGGATCTATTTTTAAAACCTTATAGCTTTTTTTGAATAAAATTTTGAATATAATTCATTATTTCTTGTCACAAAATATGACACTATTTCAACGCCACTATAATGACTTTCCCGTCCTGTAAAGATTAAGTACATTTACTATTCTTGTATATAATTAATTTTAATAAATTAGCGAGACTAAGGTCGACGAAAGTTCCATTATCTTGAAAAATATGAACAAAAAATAATAACAATGTAACATTTATAGTGTCAGCTCAAATGACACATACAGAAACATTCACTCACAGTACACGGATGACGCGTTCAATCGGTTACCGGTTCGCCTACAGATTTCGACGCATTCGCCAAATACGGCGCATTGAAGTCGAACCCGAGAAGCCGTAAGCCGTCTGGTTTTCTACCCACGCCGTGACCCGCCGTCGCTTTTTACGGGAAATATGAACAGACGGGTGTGGTGCTTTCGCTCTTTAAGTAAATTGGTCCACGGATGCGTTGCGCGGATCGCTCGTGATAGTTAACGAATAATGGTTTAGAAAATTTTGATGTGTATCAAAATTAAAAAATAAAAATTTAAAATTGTTGTTACTCTCCGGATAAAAATAAAAATCGAAGTGTAAATCGGATGTAATACAAGAGTAAAAGAAGCGTAAACGAAACTTTTAAAAGACGAAAATTGAAACAATGAAATGTAAAAGAATTATCGTTTGCACTTTTTCTACATTTTGATGTTTCAATTTTCGCCTCCTTCTTCCATTACATTCGACTTACGCTCTGATTAGTTAATACAATTTCATGCTCTTTCGAATATAGAAAGATACAGAATTATTTTAGATACTCGTTTGATTTTGACTTTTAGTTAACGGTTAAAACGCAAATAGACACGAGGAACCGGTTAACTTATAATTACCGTTAAGTGGAAATTAGAAAGTTAACATTAATTTATATATTAAATTAATTTATACTTCAATTCAATTATTATGGTCTGCATCTCTTTATGTAGTATAGAATAGATTCCGACGCTATTCGTCATGTGATATCAACCCTGACTGTCTATAATATCAATAGTATCTTCATCCATATAATAACGCGTTTTATTACGTACATACCATAAAGAACAAACGTTCATTAAAGTTAATAAACATCTTTAGATATAAGTGTACGTAAACATTTTTTTTAACGAATGAGACACACGCTTCGCATCGTTAACGCCCACGAGTGTGGTTTTACATCTCGAAGTAAGTGTTAATATTTCAATCAAATAAGAAAATTATTTACCCGATTTATTTCCAAGGATAATATAAGGCGTAATATAGCAGGAAATAAATATTGCACAAGCATAAATAGCTAAATGTTTCTGCTTGCAGCATATTTTTTATTTATTTTTCTAAAATGTGTAAAACATTTTTTTTTCATTTAATGTGCAATTGGATGTACAATTGGTTCATAATTGGTTTATAATTTCAACAATGATTTCCATATTATCATATTTTCATTCTAAATCAATCTATCGATAATACTCAACAATAAAAAAATGCTTAGCATTTTCTAATCAGAGATCTTATCGTAATTATACACTGTTATTTATCCATACAAATTATAATTATATAAAGAAATGGAATAATTAAAACATTTTATATCAAGATTTTTACTTTTTACCAGCCACGTGTCATAATACGATACACCTACAATAATAATAACAATAACGAGAAAATAATATATTGTATTATAAACAATTGTTGTGATCAGTAACAAAATAATTTATAATAATTATTTTAACAAGTTTATTATTTGAATCGAGAAAGAATCTATCCATTCCTCACAAACGAATTAGTTTATCAGTAAAACGATTACCTCTTTAACAATTGTGACTTGTTAAGAAAGTCTCATTGAAATAACTAATAATTAATAATGGTTATCTCAATTATTCCTAACAATATTATTATAATTCCTAACAATAAATAATGGACATTAGTGACACTTGTCCGTCCGGGAGGAAACATCGGCTACGATCGTCGTAGTTTTGCAGTCTACGTCATCGCTCGGTTTACGCCGTGGCATCACGATGGACCGGTTCTGCGAAGGTGCCCCCACCGATTTCTCTGTCGCGTTCGCGGTGCTCACGGTCTGCAATTTTTCTCGTCGCAAAATGTTGAAAGAAAGAACTACGTATCGTTGTATGAATCATTGTGCGAAGCTTTTATATAGAAATAAGTATTAAGATGAAATTTCGATTTGCGCGTAGGATAACACATCTTTGTAGGTCTTCCTCGTCTATTATGAATTGTTCTCCATTTTTTTATACTTTTACTACGCAACGATGTAGTTCGATATAATATGGATTGCTATTAATTATTCTATTTTCGTTTTTCATTTGTTGTCATGTGTTTGGATCTCTGATAAAAAAAGATATAACATCATGATAAAAAATAATCGTAATAAACTTTATTATTATATTTAAATGTGCATAAAAACGCAAAATTGCGTTTTACACAAGTCCATCTAGTTTGGAATTTTATTCGCATAATATAAGAGATCAACAGGTGTACGCATGTACACTAATACAGGACAGAGAAAAAGACTACATCCTGCATTTACATATATATTACGTAACGCGTACGCCGATGCGTATACGTGCACACGTGCGCGAAGTGCGGCTACATGCACGAGTTAATGTAATGTTAAATACCACCGAGTAATGCTCATTGCGCGCAATGGAAAGTAATAAAAGAAAAAGTAATAGCGATATATTATTTTGCTTCACCACGCTTCACATTAAAAATTGATAATACATTCATGTTTATGTATATGAATCGTATCTAAAACTATAAAGAATGTTTCATGCAAAATACAAAAAATTATCTCTTCTTAAAAAAAAAAAATCTTTTAACACTAAAGTATTATCCGTATTACTTTTTGTATGTTGGAATTTGTTATTACAATTCAACATAGATATAAACGTATTTGCGACGTACACTATCGCTGTGCAAATATGTGAACGATAAAGAGAAATCACAGATAAGCCACAAGTGAAAGAAAGACGTACTCTAATCTGGCAATATATCGTAATAACATAAGCAATACACCTGGTCGAGACGGTAGCGGCGTGACGTACATGCGCATGTACGCGCGTGTTCACAGGTCACGCATTCTAACACGCGTTACCGGTCGTGAACAATACGCGAATAGGTACGTCCCACGCCACTAGCGTGTGGGACATACGAGGATGGGTGGCTACGTCCCACGCCGAACGAATGGGACACGTACCGACGAATGTACAGAGGCTCCGTCACGTCGCGGAAAGTAGGGATGCCGCGGTGTTCTCCAGGCATAAAAGATCCATGGTTGGTGTATGTCAGTGTCAGTGACGAGAGAGAGGAACGGTGGAGAACCGTGTGGTCACCTAGACCAGCAGCGGCGAGTAACCGCCGATGCCACATCGACTCGCGATATCGGACTGAGAACATCGATTCACATCTCTCATAATCACAAATTTTATAAGCCGGCAGTTAGTTCCGAGTGATCATACAGAAGAGAAAGACAGTTTTGGAATTTATGTGCGAGTGAGAAGAAGCACGCGCGAAACTCGTGCATATATCTGACGCGGGCGAGAAAGTTCCGAGGAATCATACAGAAGAAACGAGTTTGTAAACGAGGCCGGTCACAGCCGAGCTTCAGTTCGTCTGGGTGACTCGAAGAGTGGCGTGAGCGCGTGCGAGCGTATAATGTATAATGTAGTTAAAACTGAGTGTCGATGATAAACGATTGTGCGCCAGCGATAATAGAGAACTTTTTTATATTTAAAATTTAAAATCAGAGGCAAAGTTGCAGTGATTGACAAATTAACATATTCGGCAGTGAATGTGCGTTTTAAAAACATTCTCGGCTTTTATCGTATTTACAACAATCATACACGAGTCTCTCGCGTTTGTGTCGAGTAAATTACTGTCGAGTAATCGAGCAGTAGAAGCGACCGAAAATACGTAGCGATGACTATTCACAAAAAAGGCACGGTGTCAAGGCTGAAGAATGCGGGAACTGCGAAAAACGAAGTGGCGACGACGTCGACGTCCTCGGATGTGACGACAACGGAGACAGTCGAGGTTGTATCCTCCACCAGTGTCGTGGAGGAATCGAATCAGGTGAAGGAGAGCGAATCTAGAAGTAGTATGATGGAGGTCACGAGTGCCAGTCGCGAGGTCATCATGGATTCCAAAGGTAACATTATCAAAGTTATCGAGACACCTCCACAGACTATCCAGCAGAGCTCGTCCAGCCGAAGAACTGGAAAAAGCTCTCAAGACTTCATAGCAGGGGAGCAGGTGCAATCGATTAAGCAAGCGAAGACGACGCACGAGATTCCACGCGAGCACGCAACGTCTCTTTCAGAAAGTCGAACAATTCAAGGAGAAACAATTGAACAAGCCAGTCAATCTATGCAGACGCAAAGTCAAAGCACATCCCATTCGATGATTCAGCAGTCGAGCTCCTCGAATGTCTTAATTGAGAGTTCATCAGTGAGCGAGGATCATAGCGGACATCGCTCTACTGTTGCAGTTTCTCATGACATTAAAAATAGAGCTCACGTTCCCATATCTCAGACATCGTCAAAGTCAACCGAGAGTACTCACGTGAGTAGCGAGACGAGCGAAGCCGTAACGAAAGACGGTCAAACAATGTCGAGCACTACGAGAATACGTGAAACGGGAGAAAGAATCAATGACAATGGTAAGACGATGTCTACATCGAGCCGAGAAATAGACAGCGAGCATACAATTACACCTTTTAATGTGACTGTCATTAAAAATACTGATGATATCAAGAGGAATGATGATAAAAGTATGCGCAGTGATTTGAAATCAGAGAAATCAAATATCGAGATATCAACACGTTGTAATAAACCTGGCCAATCCACATGGGATGGTACCTTTGTTTATGAAAAACCCGCCACTCCTAAGGACAAAAACGTCGTTGATAAAACAGTAAGTTCGAAGATTCATAGCGATACCAGAGATAATGAAACAAGCGTTAAAATCACTCAAGAGACCTCGACTCAGGAGGTGTCATTTATCGATCAAAACGTATCTTCAAGTTCAAGCATGACTCGAGACTCGAAAACGATTGATGAAGGTCAACGAACGATGACTTGTCTTCGTGATATCACGCCAGAGAAAACCGCCGCAGATACAACAGATTTCGCTAGCGAAAAATATTCGAAAGGACTGACTCGTTACTCAAAACCTGGCGATTCGACATGGGACGGAAGCTTCGTCGTGGAAAAAATTACGACGCAGCCAAAAAATCAGCGTAACGACTCTGGCGTCAATATGTTTCACGGTCGCGGCGACAACGTCATGGAAACTACGCAGAGAAGAGATTTCAAAGAAAAGAGTACGGACGGTACATATGAGAAGGAGTCATCCGAAACTATGCGCGTCGTAAAAGGTGCTACGGACAGCACCAGATTCATTTCTGAAGAACGACGAGATGTAAGCAGAGAAACTTCGATCCATATCGATGGTTCGCCATTGAGTAAGGATGAACATCCTGCTCGCGTATCCAGTCCATCGCAACGAAGACTCGGCAGACCCAGCGAATTTATCTACGAAAAATCACAAGATGACGTAAAGAAGCATCCTTCAGACATCACCGTTGTCCGTACAACGGAAAAACGTCATGATACCGTGGATGTTCAAGATGTCAGCGAAGAGCAGAACATTTCGAATGTTACTGAATCGGTCTCCACGTCTTACATCGTCGAATACGCGATTTCCGGCGACAAGAAGAATGTCGAGAAGGTCACGTCAGTGTCCGATATAATCTTAGAGGAAGATAGTCCTGAGAATAAAATTACCCGCGGCCATGAAAGTCAGGAGAAACAGACAAAATTTGATACAACTTCGCGCTGTTACAAACCTAGTCAATCTGCTTGGGATGGCACCTTCGTCTACGAACGACCGGTAACACCTGATAGTCGCCGAAGATCGGAAGATAAACGTACCGTAAAAACCATCGATATTCGAGATGTTACGGAAGATAATTCGATTAATGAAGCGGACGTTACAAGTACTTCTTACATCGTTGAACATTCATCAAGTCAGCAAAGTTTCTCAGACATCAGGGATGCTAATGTCAGGTCCACGAGGTACGAGACAGTCGTTTACGAGGGGCGCCCTGTCGAAACGACGATTAGATTTGATGGAGATACATCACGAAGCAAAGTTTCGACGACGGAACGTCGGACTAGTCCCTCTCCACGACCTAGAAGTCCGGAGAAGATACCGAAAGATAGAGATCTGCGAAGTATCAAACCTGGATCGTCAACGTGGGACGGAACTTTTGTATTGGAAAAATCGCAAGAGAAGAAGCGAACACCTAGCAAAGAATCCATTGATATGCTACCAGATAAATCTCGTCCAGTAGACAACAAAAAAACACCCTATGTTGATACATCGAAGAAATATGTTAGCGAGACTACTATCGATCTCCGAGATGTCAAGCAAGAGGTATCAAGCACGTCAGAGATTATGGAAAATTCCATCGTTATGGAACAATCAAGAATGCACGAAAGTTACACGGATTCTTCGAATCTTGATTTCTCGACGACTTCCGTCGAAACTGTTACTATTCGCGACGGTCAGCCAATAACGACGCAAAAAACAGTAACCATTCAAGAAAGCCCTCACAGTGGTGCGAAGAGTCTGCCTAGTAGTGACGTAATAATTACTACCGACATTAAAGAGACCACTGTTAAAAGCGAGAAGAAGGAATCTCGCGCAGACGATAGAAGTTACCGACCTCTAAAACCAGGATCGTCCACATGGGACGGATCGTTCGTGTATGAAAAATCAGAGGAAAGAAGACCAAGCGATAAAAAATCACCGAAAGATGTACACAGAACTGTAGCTAAACAGAGTCCAATTAAAGAACAACGGACCGACAATGTTGATCATCGAACAGTTACAATTTTGGATACATCAAAAGATATAAGAAGTGCTACCGATTATTCTACGAGCTCTGTCACGGTCGAACAAACATTCATTACGGATTCGAAGACATACGATTCTTCAAATATATCCAAAATTTTTATCAAAGAAAGCGCAGAAGATAAAGTACGTGAAACCGATAAGAAGTCAAGACAGCTGTTCGACGAAAAACCTGAACCATCGCCTCGACAACATCCGAAAGATACTAAAGAGCCTAAACATAAAAAACCGCAGAGTCCGGTGGATAGAACACATCGACCGTCGAAGCCAGGCGCCTCCACCTGGGACGGATCGTTTGTGTATGAGAAACCGGAAGAGAAGAGACCAGGAGATCGAAAAGTGCCAAAAGATATTAAAACTGAAGATAAGCAAAGCCCAATTAAAGAAAAACCGAGTGATATCGCTGATCATAGAACATCTGTTACAATACTGAATACATCGAAGGATGTATCAAGTTCTGTCGATTATTCTACGAGCTCCGTCATGGTTGAACAAACATATGTCACCGATTCAAAGACATATGACTCGTCAAATATATCCAAAATTTATATAAAAGAGAGTCCGAAGGATAAAGTACATCCGATCGATTACGAGACATCAAAACAACCTTCCGACGAAAAGCCGCAGAAAAGTCCGGTAGACAGAACGCACCGACCGTCGAAGCCTGGTGCCTCCACTTGGGATGGTTCTTTCGTGCACGAAAAACCGCAAGATACGCAAAAGAAACCAACACGTGATGAATCAACTGAAGTACCGAAGAAACCGGCAGACGAACGAAAACCGATTGAGAAAGAAAGCAAACCAGTGGATCAGAAAGGAAAAACGTTGCTTACTCCGATTTCGCGAAAATCAATGGAGACACAGAAGGACATCACTGAGATCAGACATGCAGTCGAAGATGTCGCGGATATCACACATGCAGATATCACGCGTACATCCGAAGTGCTTCAGCAATCTTATGTAATCGATCAGTCTTCAAGATTCACTTCTGTACAAGACGTGCGCGATGTTAAGGACGAGCGTGTCATCACTGAATTTACGACGGACACACGCAAGGATGTGGTGAGTAATTGCAAGACGTTAAAATGTTTCTTTATTAGCTGTCCACAGAAAATTGCTAAAATTATGACTCATTTAGTTTTCCGAGATAATACTTATATCATATCTCTGTTTCAACATTTATTTCTATAAGAATTTAAGTCAAATACTGAAAACTTTGAATCTTCTATTTTCGACTTGTACTTGAGTTCTCAATACATTACTACTCTCGAACTTCTCGATAGTTGATAATGACCATACGTTAGTAGGCAGATTTATAAAATTATCTCTTATCGAGACACTTTGAGCTCAGTTCTTTCGGAAGAGGTTCGAACGATACTTTCACTTCCAAACCAAGCGAAGGTTGTAGGTTCATATCTGTGGCGCCGCATTGAAAATAAACCTGACGTAATATAGCGATTCGTAGAAAGACGGGAAGGATTAAGAGCAGAAGAGAAAAGAGAATTCGTTTTGTTAAATCCTCTGTTTGAAAGACAGAATGTATATATATCATGTTCCTAATATATATGAATTTCTGGATGACTGAGTCCCGATTCACCGAACTATTGCAAAGCGAATAGGAGAATCGAGCGGAAATCGATATTTCACACATGAGAAACGATTCTGCATACAGTACCGACATACAATATCTCAATCATTATATTATGATCGCTTTAAATCGTCAATATGCTATTGTATAGTACAGAAATATATGATGTATCTTAATATTTTTAATATATTATCATCATTGACATAAAAACAATTCGATAACCTCTGTTTTCGATTAAAAAGTGAACTTTGGCATATAAATATGCAAGTTATCTTTGAGAGATAAATGCATGTATATTAAGACGATCAGTTGTACAGTTCAAATTAAATTAAAGATGCATCTTTTTTTTCTATTTTATTCCAAACGATATCAAACTTAAAATCACGTCAAATAACATTAATATAGAAAAATTGTAAATTTAAGTATTGTTATATTATATTTATATTATTTATAACAAAAGTCTGAAAATTAATTATTTGCATATAATTATTTGCATATAATTACTTCCATGAAAAAATTCTTGAAATTGCATCCTTCTCGGACATGTAAGTGCAATCACTTGCAATTAGACTAAATCAAGCAGAATGATAATAATTGCATCCAATATGAGCAAATTTGGCAGTGATGTCACCGCTCAATGTAACTCGCTTAATGTATGACCAATTGAATTTTACGCGCGTTCTGCTTCGCTTATCATGCGGTCGCCTCGTTCAAGTGCTATAGAAATCTTAGTTAAGAGATGCCACGCTGAGAGACACGTGTCTGTGACATTGACGTCACTCATCGCTGATTACAGTATCGATAGCAACGACCGATAACATTAAATAAAATAATAATAGTACAACAAAAAGAGTAATACAGGTATATCGTTTTACAATAATACCTTGTATATCCACTGTGTATTGCAATATGCTATAGAATTCAATATTGATTTAATCAGTAAAAACAAAATCGCACATAGTATCAACGGGTTTTACATTGCGACCAAGTCACTTTGTGGTTGAAAAGTTACATGTTTTCATAGAAATATGGGTCGATATCAAACAGAAAGATAAATGCCATAGATGACACTTTGGATTTTACTGTTACAGCGATAAAATAATAGTATTTCTGAAAATTTGAAATTTAGAATTTTCATTCAGAATTTTAATAGAAATAATATTTCATTTTTATTCAAATTGATTGTGTCCAATTTTTTTCTAATGTTTAAAATTGTCTTTTTTTTTATTTTTTTATTTTTTCTGCATTTAGTTTTCTTATGATTATATTAATTTAAATTTTATTTCATATCTGATAAAATCTCATTTTGCATATATTGATTATTGAAAATTCAGTGAGCGTACTTTTCTGTTAACAGCGGTGAATTTCCTAACTGAAGATTCTCGGGACAATTTGAAACTTTATCTCCACGTAGCATCTCACAAATCGGATCGGTATTTCGAAGTTTACGTTATCTAACAATATAGTCTGAATATTCAATGCTTTGCTCACAAGGATAATTTACAAGGACTACGTTGGCAATTTGCAATATGTTCTCACGTTTATACCGGTTGAACAAATTAAAAATAGATATTCGTAACTTATTCCGCACCATACAGACAGTCCGTTTCTTTAAAGCAGCTCGATTTAATTCTCACAGCCGTGACTTTATTCCGAGGTCTCGAGATAGTCGATAAAATACTTTAAGTAAGTTCGCGTTTGCACACGTGCTTTTCGCGTTATTTCATCTATAATATCACTCTGTGAATGAATATTCAACAAATATCTTTTCTCTATCTTAGATAAAAAAACTTTCTGTTTGAATCTATTTGTATGTTACGATTGTAATTTACGTCTCTATATTTAAAACAATTCATCTTGATGATTATATTACAGACACTCATTGTTTTCGATTATTCAACATGCAAACAACTATATATAGAGGTGGCCTATTTGGATCAAGATATAACGTACGACGTACACGCGTGATCGCGTTTTCCCGGCGCGATTCGGTATTATTATTTTATGAAGGCACGTGCAATATATATCTCGTCATATCACATATTACGGCATCGATAAATGTGATATGTTATTAACAGCACTTAATCACGTTCATCAAAATTCTTTTAACGCGGAAATTTTATTAAACTTGTAGTTACTACGAAACAGCAACACAGAGGGGATCGTTTTTAACATGAAATTTTTAAACAGACAAAATTATACTCATCAGGAAAACAAGTAAAGTCTAAATTATGTAAACGAATTTCATTATGAGCAACTCTCGATATCGTCGGAGGAGGAGCAAATCAGCTTAAGACTCAAGCTACTTAACCCGCTAATTAAATGCCAAAACTTCATCTGATGTGCTTTATGCGAATTACATTCGAGCGTTAAAAACAGTAAAAGATTTGACTAATAATATCAGCAGACGTTATTTGCTTCGTTGTAGAGTCAAATTAAAAAGCAAGCGTGCCTATGAATGTAATGAGCAGACAACAAATTGAAAAAAAAAGAGAGAGGCACGTGACATTTTTAATGATACAATGTAATGAATGGAACGTGGAATTTCAACACAAGTGTATGTAAAATATCAAAATTCCCCAATTTGAAACAATATTTTTTGTAGTAAATTTATCATGGATTTATAAGATACTTATTAATATTAGTTTCATTAAATTAGTATCACTTTAATAATGTGATATTATATTTCCACACAGTTGGCATAAAAATGCACTTTAAAAATGAATAATAATCTGCATCTTTATATTCAAAAATATAAAGATGAAATATAAAATTTACGAAAATTATTATTAGATGTAAAATTCCTCTTAATTAACATTTCTAATTATTAAGAGGAATTTTACATCAAATTTATATTTTCGTAAATTTTCTATCTCATCTTTATATTTACAATATATACAAAACAGATAAAGATTTTTATCTGTTTTGTATATATGTCGATCAATGTTTATTAAAAGATTACAATTGTTTATGAAATTCGAGAATTTTGAGAAAAAATATTTTGAGATTTCCTACACATTTTAATAAAAATACAAAATCTTTTAAAATACACTTATAAAATTCTTTGTACAGATCATTTACATTATCGATAATACAAACATAATCTATTTCTGAAAATGACAGCAATGTCGTTAACGAAACAAACTAAATCGCAAAAGTGCGGTTCGACGGTTCGACACGTTATACGATATTCTGTAAGCGTGCACATAAAAGCCGTATACACTAATCTCGTGTTACCTGCATTCTGTCAAACTAAGCATTACTGGCGTTCCTAATCTCGCTCATGCTCGCGGCGCTCATTATACAGCACGTTTGAAGTTCGTAATGAACACTCGCGGAAAAATGAAGCCGCATTTACGTCGTTATTGCATCTCGAAGTCTTTGTGTACCAATATGTATATACCAAGGCGTTTACTGTATATAATTAGCATACCAATTGAATATCATAAATCATTATTTTTTTAAATAATTGTTATGACATTGACTTTAAGTATATTGACATAATGTTGCTATGCAGTCATTTGTTATAAGCAAAGTAGTTCTAAAGTTTGCGAGTGGTGGTGTAGTCATAACTGATCGTTTATGTTTGACATTTCCTAACAGTTTATATGCCAATGCAAGTACTTTATTATAGTATAATCAATGTGTTACCTTTTCAGCACTAATGTTGCAGCTGTAAAATTCTAGCTGTAATATCAATTTATAAAAACGTGATAATATTTGATATTACGGTACATATAATAATTAATATATATAATAATTAATAGTACAGTTTACACTGTGCGTGAAAACGTGAGCAATCATCAGCAACGTGATAATTGAAAGCATTGACCGTATTAATTGAAATTATTCTGCTTTATATCTATTAATATTATTGTTATTTAGCAAAATTTAAGAAATACTTAAAAAATATTTTTATTGTATTTTTTAGAGAGATGTTACCGAGTCAACGAAGGAATTTATCGATAAAGAGCAGGTGACTAGCATGGTAGCGCGGGATGTCATTGACACCCGATTCGATACCATCACCGGTCCGGCACTCCGATCATCAACGGATTCCACGAGGAAACCATCGCCTGAACGGCCCGGTTATCCTCGTGGAATACCTGGTCTCAGGGAAGACGATCGACCAAAACCAACTCCAATTGCTGGAAAACCCAGCCGACCTCCGCAGCGCGAAAAAAGTCCTCAGCGACCAGTGGATGGCAGGTAAATGAAAAATAAACTATTTCTTCTTTTATCTTTAAACTACTCTAATTCTTTTAAATATATCTAAACTGTAAAAAAAATAAAACAATTTATAACTTGTCGATATTGATTTCGTAGACCTTCCGAAATCCGACCAAAAACACCTGAAAAGCTTCGGGATCATACGTCGCCGACTAGAAGACCACAGCCAGCGGCCGGCAAGCCGAGTCGACCCGAAGAAAAACCTGTAGCATTTAAAAAATCCGATAAAGAATCTGAACCTTCGAAATCTAAACCTAGTCGACTTGCTGAGAAACCGAAGAAATTGGAACAGGACGTACCTAAAAGAGGAGATCAAAGTCCAGACTCTCTCGAAGAGGATGTAATCTATCCTAAATCAGTGCCGGTACCGGATATATTGTCGAAAATTCCTCTAAAAGAACAGTGCATTTGCGAGCTTTGTACTTGCGGGTAAGTGTTCCTTGTAATAAAATACTTATATCTCTCTTCATATATAAATATAGAAAAAAGTAAAAATGAAAAACTTGGTATGAGTGTAGAATTTAATTTAAATTATGCGAAGCATTAAGCAAAAATTAAGATTCTACCACAACGTTTAATTACTTTCTACATACATATAAATTTTAATATTAAAATATTAATAAACATTTTACAAGGCATATAATTAACAAGTATAGAACTAGTGCGAATACGATTTAATTTAACTTATCTACACGTTCGCTGTAGAGAGGAACACGGTTGACCTACTTCTAAACATTATTAACAAGATCAGAATACAAAACTTGTCAGAGTCGAGATGCAAATTGACGAGAGGAACAGGAGATTGTCTTCAAGGCCATATTTTCCTATTAAATTCATTGCAGCAATCCATTCAGAGCCGAGCTGAATTTATTATATGCGAATGTATTTACTTTTGATTTGACATTATTTTAGTATCTGTATTACTTATTACATATTTCTTATATAGAATCATATTTTCATTATTAAAAGTTTTCATCATTCTTATTAAATTATTTTTAATTATTAAGAATCCTTGTTTAATTAATTCAATTCTTGCTATATAAAAAAAATCAGTAACATATTGATTTTTTAACATAGCAGTAATATCATACAAGTCAATTTTTTTATTTAGAAAACACTATATATGTATGCATAACATGCAAAAGTAGGACACGAGACAGATCCTTTTACGGTAAGTTGTTCTGAGCGAGGGCAAGTCATCTCACGATTCCTTCTTTAGTCGAACTTTCCAACCTATGTAACTCTGTATGACGGTGACGAATCATACAAATTTATCATACAGCTTTGATAATTGTGTTAGACATATCATTATTTTTTAAAAGTATTTATTATATTTAAAAAAAAATGACTAATGGAGATTAATGTGGTATTTAAATTCCTTTAAATTTGTTTTAAACTTTTTTAATTTTTATAATCTTTCTTTTCAAGATATTGATAAAAGAAACAAATTTTCTTAATATTTAAAAAAGTTTTTATTTTAGCTATTAATTTGTGATTTTTAACAACAACAGAAAAAAATAATAGTTTTAGAAAATAATAGTTTTAGAATAATAGTTTTAGAAAAATTTAATAAATAACGTATAATTATATATATATTTATT